GCTAACCTGTTGTCCATCTCTCTGTCAATCTCACCATCCGAGGAGATGAGGCTCCCTAGGTAATTAAACTGCTGGACTGATTTGAGCTCTGACTGGCCAATGGTGATATGGGGATGATGGAAGACTTCCTGAGGTGCAGGTTGATGGAGAACTTCAGTCTTCTTTAAGCTGACTTCCAGCCCAAAGAGCTCAGCAGCCTCAGCAAAGCAGGATGTTAAACGCTGCAGAGCTGCTTCTGTGTGAGCGACGAGGGCGGCGTCATCAGCATAAAGCAGCTCCCGGACAAGATGGTTTAAGGTCTTGGTGTGGGCCTTCAGTTGCCTTAGGTTGAAAGGGCTTCCATCAGTACGGTATCGAATGCAGATCCCGTCCTGATCCTCGAGGTCTGCCATGGCCCTTTGGAGCATCCTGCTGAAAAAGACTGTGAATAGGGTTGGTGTAAGAACGCAGCCTTGTTTCACACCATTGGTTATTAGAAAGGGCTCAGAAAGTGCATTGCCATAACTGACTTGGCTGTGCTGATCCTCATGGAGTGAGATGATCATTTTAAGGAACTTGGGGGGGCAACCTAAACGTTCCAAAATCTGCCACAGACCTTTCCTGCTCACAGTATCGAAAGCCTTGGTGAGGTCAACAAAGGTTTCATAGAGACCTTTGTTCTGTTCCCTGCACTTCTCTTGCAGTTGTCTGAGAACAAATCCCATGTCTGTGGTGCTCCTGTTGGCTCTGAAACCACACTGGCTTTCAGGGAGAATTCCTTCTGCTATAGTGGGTGTTAGTCTGTTCAAGAGTATTCTTGCCAGGATTTTGCCAGCAATGGGGAGCAGAGTAAGACCCCGGTAATTTCAGCAGTCTGACTGTGCTGGTTTAAAGGTAAACCAGCAGGGGAAATGAACTCAACCCAAAAGAGAGATTATAAGTCAGAATAACAATTTAATAAAATAACACAATAAGTACGATTATACAGACAAACAGTTGGTTTTAACCCACAAAACCCAAATGTATAACCCAGCACCCTGGGGCATGAACAGAGTGGTGTTTGTTGGCCCCCCTGGGCCCAAAGTAAAGGGAGAGGGGAAAAAACCCTGTTGGTGAGAGTGGTGGTGCAGTCTGGTCAAGAGTGGTGGTTGCAGTTCGGTCGAGAGTGGTGATCTGCAGTCTGGTTGACAGTGGTGGTCACAGTCTGATTGAAAAGTGGTGGTTGCAGTCTGGTTGAAGAGACATCGCTGACATCACAGGCAGAGCAGTGACATCACAGGGACAGCAGTGACATCAGAGAGACCGTGGTGACATCACAGGGACAGCAGTGACATCAAAAAGAAAGTGGTGACATCACAGGTAGAGCAGTGACATCACCGGGGCAGCAGTGACATCACAGGGACATTGGTGACATCACAGAGACAGCAGTGACATCACAGGAACAGAAGTGACATCAAAGGGACAGCAGTGACAACACAGAGCAAGCGGTGACATCACAGAGACATCGGTGACATCACAGGGACATCAGTGACATCACAATGACAGCAGTGACATCACAGGGACATTGATGACATCACAGGGACAGGAATGACATCACAGAGACATCGGTGACATCACAAGGACATCAGTGACATCACAAAGACAGCAGTGACATCACAGGAAGAGCAGTGACTTCACAGGAACAGCAGTGACATCACAGGTACATCGGTTACATCACAGAGAAATCGGTGACATCACAGAGAGAGCAGTGATATCACAGTGACATCAATGACATCACAGAGAAAGCGGTGACATCACAGGGACAGCGATGACATCAGAGGGACAGCACTGACATCACAGAGACATCGGTGACATCACAAAGACAGCGGTGACATCACAGAGAAAGCGGTGACATCACAGGGTCAGCAGTGACATCACAATGACAGCAGTGACATCAGAGAGACAGAGGTGACATCACAGGGACATCAATGATGTCACAGAGACACTGGCAACATCACAATAACAGCAGTGACGTCACAGGGACAGCAGTGACATCCCAGGGACAGGAGTGACATCACAGAGACAGCAATGACATCACAGAGACATCAATGACATCACACGGATATCAGTGACATCACCAGGACAGCAGTGACATCACAGGGACATTGGTGACATCACAGAGACAGCAATGACATCACAGAGACAGTGGTGACATCACAGAGACAGCGGTGACATCACAGAGACAGCAGTGACATCACAGAGACAGTGATGACATCACAGAGACAGTGGTGACATCACAGAGACAGTGGTGACATCACAGAGACATCGATGACATCACATATACATCGGTGACATCACAGAGACAGCGGTGACATCACAGGGCTATCGGTGAAATCAAAGGGACATCCGTGACTTCAAAGGTACAGCGGTGACATGACAGGCACAGTAGTGACATCACAAAGACATCCGTGACATCACAGAGACAGAAGTGACTTCACAGGCACAGCAGTGACATCACAGGGACATTGGTGACATCACAAATACAGCAGTGACATCACAGGGACAGCCATGACATCACAGGGACATGAGTGACATTACAGACACAGCAGTGACATCACAGAGACATCGGTGACATCACAGGAACAGCAGTGACATCACAAAGACTGCAGTGACATCACAGGGACAGGAGTGACCTCACAGGGACAGGAGTGACATCACAGGGACAGCAGTGACATCACAGGGACATCGGTGACATCACAGGGACAGCAGTGACATCACAGGGACATCGGTGACATCAGAGGGGCACCAGTGACATCACAGTCACAGCAGTGACATCACAGGGGCACCAGTGACATCACAGGGACAGCAGTGACTGTTACGACCCGCCCCAGGAAAAAGGCAGGGGGGGTAACTCAGGTTTTATCAATAATTCCCTTGGGGTGGATTAAAGTGAAACGACACTAAATAATCGGTGTCTGAAAACATATTGACAAGGTTTATTTTAACAATTCTGTATCAACAGCTATGCCAGCATTTTGGGGGCTGTCATATAACAAGACCAACCTTTCAGGGGAGGAGAAAAATGCATAGGGGAGAGAAAGACAGGGTAAGATTAAAGGAGAGTAACAAAAAAGAAAAGAAGAGAGTGGTAAAAACGTAAATAGTCACTGCCCACTGGATCCAGCCATGTAAAAGCAATGGTCTTGATCCGCAGGTGGGGAGGGGAAAAGAAGGAAAAATCCCCCCCAAACCCCCAAAGTCACCAGTCAGTATCCATATCCTTTGCACCTCCCCCAAGGCGGGGAGTTGTTTCCATAGGGGGGTGTCCCCCTTTTTGGCACAGAGTTCATGTGGAGGGCGTGGTAAACTCGGCTCTTCCCGCCTTTTGGGGCTTGACATCTTCTGCACTGGAGGAGGGGGATGGGCCCAGTTGCCCATCAGAAAGTCAAAAGCCTGCAGAAGTCTCTTAGAATGCATAAATCATTAACTGTTCCAGTCTCTGACACCCCCCAAAGTGTGGGTGGGGCTGGATTGGAGGGTCCCGGCTGGGCCCGAGGCCACGGGGAGGGGCTGCGGCCGCCGGCGGCTCAGGAGCTCTGTGGGGAGAGAAAAGGGGGTGAGAGCGGGGTGGGGGGGCAGGGCGGGCACAAAGGCTGTGGGTAAGGGGGGGGACAAAACCGCTGGGGACCCCCCTTTACCTTCTCCCGCAGGTAGAAGCCGAGCCCCAGCGCCAGGAAGACCAAGCCCAAGACGAAGCCCCCGACCCCCACCAGGATCTTGCTGCGGACGGTGTCCGGTGGCATCTCTGGGGGGAGCCGGGGGGGTCAGCACCCCCAAAACCTCCTCCCACGCACCCCCCGGCACCCCACAGAGCCCGGCCCGCTCTCCCCCAGCCCACCCGGGGGTCCCTCAAACCTTCTACCAGTCCCTTTGCAGCCCCTGTAGGGATCCCACCCAGCCCCTCCCAGCCCCTTTAGGACACTCCAACCCTCTCCCAGCACCCCCAGCACCCACCAAACTCCCTCCCAGTCATCCCCAGTGTGCCCCCGGTGCTGGGGCGGCTGGGCCGTACCCCAGTGCCGGCTGAGGGGGTGCTCCAGGCTGACGTGCTCCACCTGGCAGCTGTAGGTGACCCCGCGCCGGGGGGGGATTTCCAGCAGCACCAGCACCTGGTAGGTCCAGTCCCCGTTGGGGACCACATCGGTGGCCACCACGTGCTCCGGCAGCTCCTGCCCATCCTGGAACCACCTCACCTGCACCGGCGCAGGGTAGAAATCCATCCCGGAGCAGAGCAGGCGGCCGGGGCCAGGCTGGGAGCTCGACGGCACCAGTGAGATGGACACGCTGGGGGGCACTGGGAGGGACGGGGGAGACACTGGGCTCAGCTGGGGGGCACTGGGAGGGAGGGGAGAGGACTTGTAGGACATTGGTAGGTATTGGGATGGGAGTGGGAGGGACTGGGATGGCAGTGGGAGGGACTGGGAATAGAGTGGGGGAGAAGGGGCTGGGCTGGGGGGATACTGGGGAGAGAGTTGGGAGATGTGGGAGTGAAGTGAGAACGACTGGGAATGGAGTGAGAGGGTCTGGGAATGGAGTGACGGGGACTAGGAATGACTGGAAATGACTGCAAAGGACTGGGAATGACTGGTCTGGACTGGGAAGGAAGCAATGGGGACTGGGAGGCTGAGTCCTGGTGAGGGAAGTCTTTGTTTGGGTCTGCCTGGCAACTGGAGCGTCATCAGAGAGACGCGCTGGGATTGGCTGAGGGGCGTGAGCTCGGTGGCCCCAGTGGGGTGGAGACGCGGGGGGCGGCACTGGGAGAGACTGGGATGGACTGGGATGAACTGGAGTGCACTGGGAGAAACTGGGGGAAACTGGGAGAGACTGGAGTGGACTGGGAAGAACTGGGAGGGGGCCAAAGGGCATGGGGAATGGCAGAGGGAGGGCTGAGGGGTCTGGGGTGATTCCCAGGGACGGTTTGAGGGGCTCCAGGGTCATTCCCAGGGCAGGGCCCGAGGGGACCCACTGTGACCCACGCTCACCTCTCCTCTCCACGGTGAACGGAGCATCAGCCTTGTAGTTGTACCGGCAGTACCTGTCCACCGCAGAGCGTTTGTACTCCAGCCATTCCCGTTTACTGTTGAAGTGCCTGGCCAGGGTCTCCCCACGTGGGGTGTCCCCCACATAGACCCCCACATCGCTGTCGAAGTGCAGGAACTGCTTCCGGTTGTAGATGTGCCTCTCGACGAACCTCACCCGCTCGGTGCCGTTGATGAAGTGACACTCGTGGTTTGTCATCAGCTGGAACACCCCTGTGTGTGCAGGACACGGGGTAGGGGGTGCCCCGTACCCCCCCTGCCCCTCAGGCCCTATTCCACTCCAGCAGGGTTGGAGCTCAGGGGGCCACCCCGGACCCCCCTTTCCCACCCCCCTCTGCCCCACGGACGCCCCAGTACCGGCTCTTGGCTGGGGGCGAACCCCCCCATCGGTCCCCCAGGATGGACAAGGTGGTTGGGGACTCCCTCAATGCGGATCCGACCCCCCCAGAGTCCCAGGGAACCGCTCCAGGGCTCAAGGGACACCCAGGGACCCCCAGGGCACCCCTCTGCCTGATCTCCCACACCCCCTTGCCCCCCTCTCCCACCCCTTTCCCACCGGCCCCACAATCTCCAGACCCCCCAACCTCACTTTAGGGCTCCCACCCCCCTCCCACTCACTCTGGGACTTCCAACCCGCCTCGCACTCACTTTTGGGGCTCCCAACCCCTCTTTTCTCCCCTCTTTACCCCCCTTTCACACCCCACCCCCCTGCCCGCCCCCCCGCTCACCCGACAGCTCCTCGCCCGCAGCCGGGGGGGCTCCCAGCACCACCAGCACCGCCAGCACGGCCCCAGCTCCCCGCACACGCTCCATGCCCAGCGCCGGACAGCTGCTGACAGCCCCAAAACAGCCGGGCGGCGCCGTTTTGGGGGGTTTGGGGCGCGCTGGGCTTGGCTGAGGGCGCAGTTGGGGCCCTTTTTTCGAGGCGTCTTCCCGGCGACTGATGAGTCATCAGCGCGGCGCGCTGGGATTGGGTGAGGGCGGCGTGGGCGCTTTGGGATTGGCTGAGGGCCGTTGGGGGCCCCCGCGGCAGCCCCGGGGCTGGGGGGTTCGGGGGGGTCCGTGGGGGAGGGGGGAGCTCAAGTGAACCCAAAATTGGGAATCCAGGCAGTGCAGAGAATTGGGAAGCTTTACTGGGAACACCGGGAGCAGTCGGCTGGTGTCAGAACAAAAGCAGGTACAGGGGGATAAACGACCCCCCCAAAATCAGCGCGGGTATGGACTGGGGGATCGAGGCTGGGACGCTCAGCCCTCCAAGGACCCCCCCAAATCTCTTCTCAGCCTTTCCATTTCCCCACAAAGCCACTCCGATCCCCAAAAGGCTCCCACAAAACTCCCTCCCAGTTGCCCCCAGGACTCACCAAAGCCCCTCTCAGCCCTCCCAGTACCCACCAACCTCCTTCTCAGACTCTCCATTCCCCACCAGACCCTTTCCCTTACCCCCCAAACTCCCTCCCAGTTCCCCCCACAGCCCCCAGAGCCCCTCACCCCCCTCCCAGTGTGCCCCCGGTGCTGGGGGGGCCGGGCCGTACCCCAGTCCCGGCTGAGGGGGTGCTCCAGGCTGACGTTATGCTACAGGGTAAGGGATAGAATGCAGCTCCCTTAAAATCAACAATCACTACACCACTACTTCTAAAATCTACAAAAGATAAAAAACCAAAAAGCTCTGAGGCATCACACCTCTTCTTTTACAGTTCTATCACAACTTTTTATAAGTCAATCATATTATATTATAGAGCTCCATTTCTATGTTGTTAGGTACACCTTTTATATACTTTTATATAACTTTTATAAACTTTTTAATGTATTAATAAAATCCCAGGGATCTTGCTTGGAACTCCCTGCATCCAGGGACCGAGAGGATCTCCCTGAATAACTTTCAGTGGGCACTGGAATCCTCAGGATCCTGGAACCCCTGGACCATCAACAGCTTTGTCCCTCCAAAGGGGTCCCAATTTGTTTCCAATGGTTCAGGAATACGAAATAAACCAAATACCAGTTTCCAAAACCAAATCAACTTAGAAGTCCAGAAATCACAAGTTAATATCCAAAATACCAGAAAGGATTTCTTCAAGACTCTTTCTTTGCAACCTGAAGTACCCATAATACAAAATAAACCAAATACCTGTTTCCAAAACCAAATAAACCAAAGACCAGTTCCAGAACCAAATAAACCAGTGAGTCCAGACTCCCAAATTAAGATCCAAAATCATGGCCGGGCTTCGCGAACGAAGATTTGGGAAGGGCTCTGCCCACATTTGCTACAAGCACACTGGTGGCTAAAGAGGCCAATAGGCGATAGACACGTCCAGTTGCAAAAGGCAGAGCAGAAAGACTCCTTGGATGGGATCGACAGGACACGGTTCTTTCTGCGTTGTCTTTTCTCCTCGATGGTGATCCTGCTGCGTTCTCAAAGGAAGCAGCAGCGTTAGAGATGGGGTGTCTCCAGACCTCCCGACTGGAGGCCAGAGTAGACCAGTGATGAAGATCAATGTGGCCAAGGCTGAGATGTTGTGTCAGGGAGTCCTTGTATCTCCTCTTCGGGGCTCCTCTCTTGTGGCAGCCGGTGGCAAGTTCACCCCAGAGCACGATCTTAGGGAGGGGGTGGTTGGTCCTTCATCCTGGAGACGTGCCCTGCCCAGCACAGCTGTGTTCTCAGCAACATGGCCTCAATACTTGTGACTGCTGCCTGTTCTAGAACAGATGGATTGGTCACATCATCTGATCAGTGGATGTTTAGGATTGTACGGAGGCAGCGTTGATGGAAGCGTTCCAGCAGTCGCAGGTGGTGGCTGTAGATGACCCATGATTCGGATCCATATAAGAGAGTAGACAGCACAATGGCTCTGTAAACACTGATCTTTGTGCTTTTCTTCAAGTGTTTATTTTGCCAAACTCTTTTATGGAGTTTTCCAAAAGCTCTCTATGCCTTTGCTAACCTGTTGTCCATCTCTCCGTCAATCTCACCATCCGAGGAGATGAGGCTCCCGAGGTAATTAAACTGCTGGACTGATTTGAGCTCTGACTGGCCAATGGTGATATGGGGATGATGGAAGACTTCCTGAGGTGCAGGTTGATGGAGAACTTCTGTTTTCTTTAAGCTGACTTCCAGCCCAGAGAGCTCAGCAGCCTCAGCAAAGCAGGATGTTAAACGCTGCAGAGCTGCTTCTGTGTGAGCGACGAGGGCGGCGTCATCAGCATAAAGCAGCTCCTGGACAAGATGGTTTAAGGTCTTGGTGTGGGCCTTCAGTCCCCTTAGGTTGAAAAGGCTTCCATCAGTACGGTATCGGATGTAGATCCCGTCCTGATCAAGACGTCACGTGTGTTACATATTCACGACCCACCGGCAGTGGTTGGTGCTCTCTGTAAATCTCGGGACACGCCCCTGGCCCTGCACACTTCTCTCTGCTGCTCGTCTCGGTGGTTGTGGGGGGTGAAGGGTCAACGTCTTCCTCTCTCGGAGCGTGCGCAGTCGCTCAGCGCCTTCCCCTGGCGACGGCTCCTCATTGGCTGCCCGTCCGTCTGCTCGGTGTCCCATTGGCTGCTCATTGGCTACATTTGCTCCATCGCACCCTCCCATTGGCTGCCCCTTTGCGCCCCCGCGCAGCTTTCCCATTGGCTGCCTCTGGGCAGCTCCCCATTGGCTGCTCACCGGCAACCCGGCTGTTCCCTGAGCAACAGCCCCGCCCCTTCCCATGGCACTGATTGACCTGTGCCGATTGCAGGCACCTTCACACCCTCCCCAGCACCCGCAGCTGAACAGTCTCCCTTATCAACAGCAGGGCAACATTTTCCCAATAGCGACTGAACATTTTCCCTTCTCATCCTGGGGCCGGGAATGGGGTGCAGAGGGGTCCTCGTGTCTGGGAATGGGGGTTCAGGGGGTCCCAGTGCTGGATGAGGTGGCTCAGGGGGGTCCTGGTGCCCAGGAATAGGGATTCAGGGGGGTCCTGGTACCAGGAACAGGGGCATGGAGGGTCCCTGTGACCACAAATGGAGATTCAGGGGGGTCCCAGTGCCCAGAAATGGGAGTTCAGGGCGGTTCCCGTGCTCAGGAATGGGAGTTCAGAGGGATCCCCTTCCCAGGAATGGGGTTTCAGGGGGTCCCTGTGCCCAGGAATGGGGGTTCCAGAGGCTGGATAAGGGAGTGTAGGCAGGTCCCCGTGCCAGGGAAGGGCTGCAGAGGAGTCCCCTTCCCAGGAATGGGGATTCAGAGGGTCTCCCATTCCCGGGAATGGGGGTTCTGGGGGTGCCAGTACTGGATAAGTAGTTTAGGTGAGTCCCAATACTGGGGGAGGAGGAGCAGAGGGTTCCTCATGCCCAGGAATGGGGGTTCAGGGCAGTACCCATTTGAGAATGGGGGCTCAGGGGGGTTCTGGTGCCCAGGGAAAGGTGTTCAGAGGGGTCCCGGTGCCCAGGAATGGGGGTTCAGGAGGTGCCAGTTCCAGGGGGTCCCACTGACCCTTCATTGCCCCCCCGGGTCCCCCAGGAGCCCCAGGAGCCCCCCCAGCCCCAGCGCTGGAGCCATCGCGCTGCTCCGCTGCCTTTGGGGAACATCCCTCCTTCAACCTGTCCTGCTTTGGTCACGGGCCTGGAAAAAGTTTCTTCTTCTGGAATGCTTCCCAGCCCTGGGGGCTGGCCAAGATACTCCTTCCTATCAGTGCTGCTCAGGCCCACATGGTTTAGTCTCAGGACTAAGATATCCACCTGAACGCAGCCGTGGGTGGATCCAGGACTCAGCCCTGCCTGGTACAGCTGAAGGAATTCACAAGACTTAAACTCTATTTGTTGAAATTAAAGATTTTCCCAACATTTTCCCCCTTGTTGAAATTTTCGGCAAGTCTCACTGATGAGCTTTATAACACTTTGGGTTACAAACATCGGTACAACAGTTCACAGAAATGCAGGAAAGACAATAATCACTGTCCTCACAGTCACTGGAATTCATTTCACCCATGGAGAGGGGTCTGGAAACCAAGATGATCTTTCCTGACAACTCCCTAGATCCTCAGGGAGTATCCTCCTTTTGTATCCTCCTTTGGTGCCTGAGTACCACTGATAAGAAGGAATATCTTGGCCAGCCCCCAGAGCTGGGAAGCATTCCAGAAGAAGAAACTGTTTTTTCAGGCCTGTGACCACAGAAGGATAATTTGGAGAAGGGATGTTCCCCAAAGGGCCACCAGAGACCCTCAAGAGACCCCTACTCTGATGTAAATGAGTTCTGAGAACTGATTCAAATGTGTGAGAGAATCTGTGGGAGTGTTTAGTACATATGCATGAGTTTGGGGAAATGTAATGCACATGTATTAGTTACATCCACAGAAACCAGGGTGTGAGACAGCCCAGTGTGGGGGTGATGGGAGGAGACCCCCCCACCCGCCCCCCACCCATGCACCCAGTGCCGAAAAAAATAAAACCGCTTTCTAATCCTGACATTGCAGTGACAGAGAGTTTTATTCCCCTACGGTGACAGTTCCAGTTGCTCCCAGTATGATCCCTGTTGCCCCAGTTCCGGTGTCGAGGGGTCCCAGTCCTGCTCAGCGTGTCTAGGCCACCCCCCGTACCTCCAGTCCATCCCAGTTCGTCCCGGTCCCTTCCCAGCAGCCGCCGCCGATTCCCAGGTCCTGCCCCCCCGCCCCCCCAAGATGCTGACGGGGGTCGGGGCTCCGTCTTTGGCTTCGTCTCCCTGGGCTGGGGCTCGGCCTCCGCCCGCGGGAGGAGATGAGGGGGGTCCCCGGGGGTCGTGTGTCCCCCCCGGAGCGTGTGTGCCCCCCCGGGACCCCCATCCCGCCGTCCCCCCCTTTTCTCTCCCC